CGTATTGTTAATTTTACATATTGTAACTTTAAATTAAAGAAAAAAAAGTAAATGAAAAAATGTATAATAAAGTTGTGATTGTTGCAAGGAACATATTTTACCTAATAATTTTTTAATACTATTAGTTTGTGATACATAATATATTATTTTTTCTGCCATAATAACTAATTTTTTTCTGTACCCCTAAACAACCTATCGCGTACCCCTAGGGGTACACGTACCACAGGTTGGGAATCGCTGATATAGATGATTATTTCTTTTAAACTATTTGATCGAAAAGTTACATAAAATTGGGGTTGCATAATCATCCGAAATTATTATTATATTTTCAACTGAAAATCACTGGATTTATGCAATTTTTGTTTAATTAATGTCGTATAAAACTGACTGCTTGTACAAGTTTGCTTAAAACATGCGACTCAAAATACCCCAAAATGGCGACTCAATAAGTAGGTCACGCGTGTCCTGACCTTCTTATACAGACCTTGACTGTACCTATCTAATAGTTCCTTCCTGAGCCCGTAAACAGCAGTTACATAATGTGGCATAGACTCTATGAGGTGTCTGAGTTGTTGCAATCCAGACATGTTCAATGGATCTCCATAATTCAGTTGTGTTTCTTGGATAGTCCTGCAAGGCATTGAGTGACGTTTACACAGCGTCCCATAAATGTTCTGTGGGGTTCAAGTCTGGCAACTGAAGCGGCCAAGTGAATAGCTAAAAATCTGTCAAGTGTTCTTTTCAGCTACTGTTGTATCACCTGCCACATGGTGAGTATCATTATCCTGCTGGTACAATTACTGTCAAGGGAACATACTGTAGCAAGAACGAAGGACTGCAAAATGCCTGCAACAAGATTAGTATATGTCATATATGTCACAGAAGAGCACTCTTGCAACCCAAGACACAAATGAATAAGTCACAATATGGATTTTGACCGTCAGCAAAGAGAACCGCCGGTCTTTCTTTACGACTCTTCGCGACGACGGAAGAAAGCAAGCGATCTGCCGACCACGCGATAGATGCGCGGCGCAATCGACATTCTTTTTCCGAAGACGATCCCCAGAGATCCGACCGAGGCCACCGCCGCTGCCACACTTCTGCTCATTTCAAAGCGCGACGGGCACTCCCGAGATGATCTTCCTTTTGATGACACTGCGCCGATCGACGACACCGATCCGACGGCCGCAAATCCCGCGCATCCTTTCGATTCTCCTTCTACCGCCCCGACCAACGGGTATCGCCTAACCGTCGACATCGAACACCAACGGCAGTATGCACTTCTCCGATCCTCCGACCGCCTCCGTTGCAGATCTCCGGGACGGTTGCACGCGTCAGAGTTTTCCGGCACACCACCGGGCAACGCTCCGCGCGTCCACTCCATCCACTCCACCACCCGTAGCTCTGTCGAAGGGAATTCCACCGAAGAAAACACCGGGGAGAGATGTCTCTCCGGAGCAAACCGGGCAGACTCGACGGCACCCGTAAATCGTTACGTTCCGGGCAGACATTTTCATCAAATACGACAAACTCACAAAGAAAAACAGAATACATCTCACGGTCGAAATACCTCCAATTTGCAGGAATTACCACGTCCATAAAGTAGAGGCGAAGGCGACAATTCCTATTAAATTAAGGTGTTTCGAACGGGGAGCACGGAGATTAAAGAAACACACGATCTGTAATCTGCTTCCGTTCCGTATGTCATCATCGCACGATAAAATCGAGCAAAATCCGTTAGGGATCGTTAGTCCTTTCCGAGCACAAAGCAACTGTGACAATAAAAACAGTTAAACGTTTTGGCTTTTACTTTCGAATTAGGCCTACGACAATTAAGATACAATGGCGGAGCCGGTCAAATCTCGGCGTAGGAAAACAAAAAGCAAGTTTTAAATAGCCAAAGAATTATACAGAATAAATAAAACAAAAGGTAGACGGACGTTCGTAAACGTAAGAAAACTAACGGTAGAAGAGATAAATAGGTCAGAAGAGATTGGGCATACCGGAATTATCTGAAATCTAAGCAAAATTTTTCTAAGTAAACGGCTTTTGTTAGACGTTTCGAAGGAAAGGACCGAGGGATCGCGGCATCCACGGAACTAGTTTCGTCTCGTCTCTTAGAGAGGAGAGCGAAGCGGCGCACGAAGCGAGTAGGAAATACGAACGATCGATAGGCGTTTTTAGTTCGGACGGCAGACGTAAGATTAAAAATACGAACCTTCGCTGATGAATCTCATGTCTTTATTGGACTCGATGGTCTGCAGCATGGTGAGCAGCGCGTCCCTCTCTTGCTCCACGGCGCTGGCGTGTTCCCTGAGCAACTCCACGCGTTTCTCGACGTGATCCAACATTTCCACCAGTCTGTCCGTCACTCGAGAAACGGAATCCGATCGGCCGAACATCCTCTCCGACCTCTCTTCTCTTCCGCCTCTCCATTCCGGCTGACGACACTCGCCCGAGGCCATGTTAAAACTTTGCCGCTCCGGAGAACCGGCGCCTCCGTCTCGCCGAATGCATTCGTGGGATATCTGCCGACCAAACAAACTGAAATTAGTGCCGCCAAATTACCAAATTCGTTTCTTAAACCTTCCTCGATTATTAATATAAATCAAGCCGAGCTTAAACCTTTCTCCTATGATTTCCGTTTCCTTATCGATAAAACTTTTAATTACATCTAAATTATCGATTGAAATAAGTGCATATAAAATAATTTAAATTATCGAAATAATTTGAGTCCGTATTTGCGTTGTAAAATTATCGATATTTTGTTAAAATCTTCGGACACCGTTAGCACGACCGTACACGATGTATATAGAGGGCGCCGTATAAATTTAAAATGGCGATGCTCTCTCGTCGGTTTACGTAGAGGTTTTATCCATCTTCTCCTCCCGGGCGGGCAAACGGAACGCCAATTTTATTTATGCCGCCACCGAAGTGCGGACGGGTGATGTAATCCGTCCGAATTCTATCGTCTTTTCGGATCGTCGTCGTTAGATACGTTAATTAAGGCGGATATTTCGTGCCGAAATCTGTTCGCATCACCTCTGGCTACGGTTTCGTTCCGATGGTAGAAACGGCCGGCCTAGCTACCGATTGCAAATCGCTTTTATGTACTGTACAAAGCGAAATAAAATCTCTCGTAACTAACGAATTACTGTAATAAATATTCGTAAAATTTAATACTTTTTATAAACCCAAAATCTATTTTTATTACCGTTAATCCGGATTTTCGTTAAAAATTACGGATTCGAACATGGTAATAAAACGCGCTTAGCGCAATCTTGTTTTAAGTCCCGAATATTATTAAATACCGTGGCATACCGGGTTTTGTACGGCCGGATGGCCGAGTGGTCAATAGCTACGGGTCGCCCCTCCCGAGCATACCGCTCTGGGGACCCGGAATCGCATCCGGACGGCTCGGAAAATCGCCGTAAATTTTTCCGGGTGGTCTGTCCGAATATGTCGGGCTCCACAGGGCCGAACCCATAACGGTCATTAGTATGACCGTTATGGGTTCGGCCCTGTGGAGCCCGACTTATTCGGTCCTGTGGAGCCCGACTTATGGGTTCGGCCCTGTGGAGCCCGACATAAAAGAGCCCCTCTTAATGCTACAAGGCGGATTAGGGTTTGTTTCGGCCTGGACGGTCGAGTTCTTCGCCTCCACGCGAAAGACAACGTAATACAGTTTGAGCATACTTAGAAAAAAGCGAAATACAGTAGACCCCCTATAACGCGGGTTCCTATAACGCGGCAAAAAGATTACGACAGTAGTCGTATAAAGACGCTAAAAGGGACGCGTAAAACGCGGTAAAACGTCATCTCCGACTCGTGTCACGAAAGGATTGGTCGAATCTGGACCAATAGAAAACGAACAGCCGAACTGATTACACGCTACAGAGAGTTTAGACAGGTAAATTGAGTTTAGTATCGTCTGTACAGTATGTAAATTAGGTACCGTAAGTCTAATAGAGCACTGTAATTTTATACATTTCTTGTGAAAGAAACAGTTTTTATTCAACGGCCATAAAAATTATTTATATTAATGATGTCTCCAAAGTTCAACGAATTTTTCGCAGAAAAATAATAATAAAAATTCGGTGCGCCGCTCCGCGACGAAAACAAGCTTAAGCAATGACGACATCGAACGGTGCACACTCGGTAAGTAATCCTATAATTTTTTGTTTATAGCATAGTTTATACGGATTATTCCCAAAAAATTATGCGTGTTTTGGAAATGTTGAGTCGAATTAGTCAAGAATCGATTAATTTTATGGAAGAAAACATTTCAAACAGCCGTAGTCCCTAAACTGCACACGTGCAGGGCTGTGATTGGCTCATGTGTTTAAGGATTCCTACAACGCGAAATTCGTATAACGTGGAAAGTATCTACCGCGTTATAGGGGGTCTACTGCAATGTTCCCTCTAAGCTGCGCGGGTGCGCGGCCGCGCACTGTTCAAATTGTTGCCGCGCACGAGAATTTATGCGCCGCGCAGGCGAGCATGCACACCGACTTGAATTGTTTACTTATTTCTCACTCTGTCTGCAACATGATTATTGCTGCGTATATTTAGATTAAATACATTAAATCAGTGACAAAAGATAATATTTCGTATAAAAGTATGTTTAAAAATGAATTTTAATCTCTATAATAAACTAGCTGTTACTCGCGGCTTTTCCTGCGCGGATTTTGCAAGCAAACCCCATTTATATTCAGTATTTCAACAACCATAGTAATTGTTATATAACACCTACCACTGAGAATGGTGAGAATGATGAGAATTGCAGAGAATCAAACGAACTATTTTCAATTTGATCAATTTTCTGGAACGTTTACAATCGTTCTATAATCGAACCAATACGCAATAACAAATTCAAATTTAAAACGGATCGAACATTTTTAAAATCGAAATGTCTGAAATGTTATCAATTTAATACACCTAAGTACTCAATGAAGACTAAATCCTCTCCCTCTCCCGCCCGCGGGGGAATTTCGAAAAATCCCTTCTTAGTGTGCGTTTCCATGACGTACCCTAACTGTCTACGAAATTTCACCTCTTTAGGTTAAGCGGTCTGCTCTGGGCGATGATGAATCAGTGAGTGAGTCATTCAGTCAGTCAGTCAGTCAGGACAAGCAATTTTATATATATAGATTATTTTAATTTTTATAGGAAAAAATAAGCATATATATATGCTCAGCAAAAACTTTTTTTGCTCAGAGAACTATATGTTCCGCTCATCTACAAAAAAAATTGGAGGGAACATTGGTCTACTGTACTGTATAGAGCAATCGGACATTGGCGTGCACGACGAAAAATTTTGCGGATGCTGGAATTTTCACAAATCGAGCGGGAAAACAAACGTCCCCGCTTTACATTTAGTTTTCTATAAATTTACGGGATTTTATAGAATACGCGTATATTTGAAACTTGCAATGCCAGTTTTCTCCAAATTCGTCTTATTGAAGAAATGAATTCTAAACGTAATGTTTACTGCCGAAAAACATTGTGGCTGTCTTTGAAGTTGAATTTTTTGCACGCCACAATTATGATGATTAACAAGGCCATTTTCGAGAGAACGACGCAGTCTTTACCGGGCTTTTCTTGAAAAAATAAAATTTTCTGGAGTCTCGTGTCTTTTTATTATTCGTACAAAACATCTTTCTTTTCGTTGTAATAGATCAAAAGTGCCATCCGGGGCTGACCGTCCTCACCTAACTACGCTAATCAAATTTCATAAGTACTGTACAACAAAAATTAATCGAGCGATTACAAATAAATGTAGCTATCGATAATGTAGTGACGGGCGAAGTCATTGTAAAACTCGAGAGATTCTCGACGGATTGGGTTGGGTACATTTATAATTATTTTTCATTTGCAAGGCTTGGTTACAACATTTGACACCAGAGTCAAACTTAAATATGGCGCTTTTTGGATAAACATTTCATTAGTCCGTTACAAATTTAAAACGCAAAAAACTCCTTTTACTAATATAATATGCCTTATATTAAATTAGTTCTGTAATACGCTTTTTGTCTAGTCTTGTATTCAATTTATGAGCTCTATGACGGCTTCTCTTTTCCGCTAGAGTTATTACACCATTATTCAGAAACAGGACAAGATTTAGAAAATCACATTTTTATTTCGGACTTCGAGTCCTTTATCAACTCATTGTGATGTAAATGGTTATGAAAAGCATAGAAATGGTGACGATTGATAAAATACGGATGACAATTATTATTTTACAAGTGTTTGATTAGATATGACGGTGCGATATATAAAGTAGTATCAACAGTGAGAGGCAAACAATACACATAATAAAGTACACTGTTAAAACCATAACATCTAAAACCGTGACATTGCAAACTGTTTTACCATTAAAACAATAACATTGAGTAATGAAGTAAAAAAACCTGTTCACCGTTAAAACAATAAGACTGTAAACTTACAGTAGAATCGTAACACGATGAAACTATTCACAGAGATAACCTGAAATAACCTATTCACAGAAATAGCGTTATTTCTGTGAATCGTCTCGTCGTGTTAAGCCTGGACTCCACATTACCTGAAAACAGAAACTCAAAAACAGAACCGAAACATATAGTTTTCGTTTTAACTCGACTCCACTAAAAATGCGCCATCAGTTGATCGGTTCTGTAATTGTCGTAGAGTCAAACACGGACGACGCTACGGATTTTGCCACCCTTTCTCTGCACGCAACTATTAACAATTAAATTGTTAATAATCTTTGAATTATTTACATTTTTTGTCGTACAGACATGTGTATTTTCTAACTTCTTCGATGAAGAATTCCAAATTTATTTGTTTCCCGTCGTTTCCTCTACACTTTCCGCCGTTACGACAATCAAACAACGCGTGACTAATGCGCGTGACTACGCGTCAGAAATCCTGGCGTTTTTATTGGTAGCGGTACGACAGAAGCGCCGAACGAAAACGGAAAAGTTAAATAATTTTTAACTCCGCTTTCAGGCTTGTTTCTGTCCAACCGAACGTTACAAAACTAAAAGTTTCGTCAGTTTGGCTTTCAGTTTTACGATTACGTCGCGGATTCCGGTAATGTGGAGTCCAGGCTTTACGATTCTACCAAGTTTTCTATGAAGTTATTAGTTCAAACGTGTAACAGTTTTGGATTTTTGCTGGCGCATAGTCATATCGGCACTCTGGGCGCGCTCGCTACTCCTGTTTATCCACGGTCCCGGTCATCAGAAGACAGATTAAGTAACTATATTAACTGCAATTACAATCATATTTATTAAAAAATTAATAAATGGGATTATAAACGTGACTGAAATATGTTGTATGTATTTAAAAAAGCGAATACATTTTATGTTCATAACTAAAAAATAACCGATTCATGCGTAGCTTATTTTTATAATTTTCTTTCTTCTTAAAATTGTATTTAAGGAAAACTGCTGTTGAAAAAGACTTAATTAAAATACACTATAACAGAAAAATAAACAAACCATTCTGGAAATAAGAATCATTAGATAAACCTATGGACATCATCTTT